CTCAGTCGATTTCATGTTTACCATATTAATTTATTTATTTTTAATACAAGAAGGATGATGAAGTTAATTAATTCTACTTATTGGACTCAACAATTCATTGCTAATGTTTTGATTATTATTAGTTAGAATGAATTTTGGAAGATTTCTATGGAAGTTTTCGTACATTCAACCAAAACATCATCTTATTACAAAACATCATCTAATTTTGTAGCATCCATTGGTCTCAATTACTACTAGTTTAGTAGAAGTAGTATCCGTTGATTCATTAATTCGATTCTTAATTTCATCTTTTCACTACGTACGATATAATTAATTCTTAATTTCTTCTAGGGTCTGTGCGGAATGACGGCAATGTCGTCTCTTTAGATGAAAAGATATCGATAATGTTGAACGTGGTGAAGGTAGTATTGTTTCTGCTCGGAGGGACGGAACGAAAGGACGAGGAAGCCGCAATTGTTGATATCTCTGCCGAAGAGGAGCTATACATGCTGCGAAACCTCACCAAGTTCGCGGGATCCCTCATTAGATCACTCTCTCTAAACGATGTCTTCCTACTCGTGAAATCGTTTTTCAAACGTTTACAAACCGGCCGGGTCAGGCTCGAAATAACACTTGATTAATCAACCATTCTCAGTGTTAGAAAATTACATTTTGTTTATTACTTCATCTGGTAAGTTGCTTTTGAATACGATCTACAAAATTTTAACATACACTAGGTGAATACCTGCGTCGTATCTATTTTCTTCCGAATTCCTATCTCATGCATTTTTTCCGAGAACATTTCATCTCATTCCTATTTTATGTTTAATTTAATGAAATTCACATGTGTTTTATCGTGTTTGTTTTATTTGAAACTTCTATCTCATGCATGTGTTGTTTATTTACCACATTTTTAGTCAAACAGCGAAACCTTATAACCGAAAACAAATGAGCTACCCAATTGCTTTTTTGGCTACCATGGTTACTGTGTTCATCTTGTGTTTATGGAATATGAGAGAAAGCAAGAAGCAAGCTGGTCGATGTTTTCATTCTTCTTTTCTAAGACAGACTTGTGATTTTCTAGTCACTTATAAATTGTAAAATAGGAAATTTCTTTCCTTGTATATATATATATAAGTCCGTCTTTGTCATTGTTTTTTCTCCTCCTTTCGTTTTATTTTCCTTCTGTTAATTTTTCTTTTTTCTTGGGAACTATTAGATTTGATGTATTATGAATCTCTTTTTTTTCCTCTTCGTCTCTTTCACCGGCAGTACTCACAATTCTCTTATCATTCTTGTTTGTAACTCTAATTGCCACTAGATATAGATTTTGCATTCAGCATCGTCACCATTTCACTATTTGCCTCAATATAACCTGTGGATTCATCCATGACCAAGTCGGTATCGAGTTTGAAAACTGATGGTTTTTGGCAGCTGATCTTGAGATTATCACCCAAGCTTTAAAATGGCAACTATCCAATATGAGTTTTCAAGAAAAACAAGTATGTTATCTCGACAAGGAGGTGTGCCTGAGATGGACGTGGCTGGACAGGTTTGCCAACTATGTATCGGAGCATACAAGTACCTGTCGGAGCTATGGAGGAAGAAGCAGTCGGATGTGATGAGGTTTCTGCAGAGGGCTAGGTGCTGGGAGTATCGCCAACAGCCTTCCATCGTTTGTCCTGACAAGGCCCCCCCAAGCAGGTACGTTTCTTCTTACATTTTTATGTAATCTCGAATCAAGCGGTGTCTTGACGCATAGGCATTAGTGTCTGCCTCACCATGTGGAACACTTCCTGAAACCAGCCACATCAAATCAATCTTCTGACTGAACTGTGGACTCTGTTCTTGTCTAAGATTGATACATTTTATTTAAGCCATGGATCGATATTTTACTTAGTCTTGTGTTTCACTGAGTCTGGGGCTGACCTCTCTTGGTTCTTTTGTGGTCCACCGTGTCGTGTTAGACGTGGAGGTCGCAAGAGGCCAGTTCCTAAGGGTATCGTGTATGGTAAACGTAAACCCACCAACCAGGGAGTTACTCAGCTCAAATTCCAGCCCAGTAAAAGATCTGTTGCTGAGGAACGTGCTGGTTGCAAATTGGGCGGCCTTAGAGTTGTCAATGAGGTAATTAACCACCACCCCCTATGTTAATCATTGTAGTAGAGAATGATCTTGTG